TTACCATGTTTTGACTTCAAAAAAATTTCGTATCTATGCATCATTTATTTTTGATGTTATTATTTCATTAATTTTTTATTTGTGATGCAGTTACATCTTATAACTAAATCAAAATGTAAATTATTTGTGTATTAAGACTTAATACACAAATAATTTACATTTTTCAACTTAATTTAAGTTGTATAAATGATTTGTAAAATATAGTGATTGAATTGTATTGGATGTAACATGTCACATTTTTGATATTTTTCTCTCATATATATATATATATATATATATATATATATATATATATATATATATATATATATATATATATATATATATATATATATATATATATATATATATATATATATATATATATATATATATATATATATATATATATATATACATACAAACAGAATTATTTACAGTAATTTGTTGTTTCACAGCTTTCAACTCAAAAAATAGTATGGCAAAAAATTTAAAAGACTTTGATCATTTATTAAAGTCTTTTACAGAAAAAAAATATACAAATGGGTACGTGCACAACTTATTTATTAACTATAAAAAAGATTTAGCAAAGACTGTAAATGAACTGTGCCTACTTATGACGCATCTTCACCTAAATAAGTGCTCTCTAAGAACATCAGTTATTCGTATGAATAATAAAATAAGTATGCTAAAAAAAAAAATATATAGAAATTGGTCATTAATTGGAGTTTACCTTTCAAAAGAATTTAGATTTCCTGGACCACAACCATTTACTCCTGATTTACTACTTGCAGTCAGTAGATCAATAATAGTTGTTCAACCCATAACACCAGTTCATGTTTCTCCATTAAAAACAAGAACAGACAAAGATTGCTCAAGGTGTTTTAAAAAGAAACAATGCAATTTTGAACTGCACAGCGCCAATAAAAGGCTTAGGCTTGCAAGTTCAGTTGAAAGAAATGAAAAATTATTGATCAAGAAAAAATATAAAGTAAATGTTGTAAACCAAAGTCTGCAAAGAAAAAATTGCAGAATATACAGGTATAAAGAAAAAATATCCAACCTTCAAAAAGAAAATGAAACCTTACACAGGACTATTAAAAAATATCATATAAAAACCAGAAGTCTAATAAAGTCAAGTAAAAAAAAATAAAAAAGAAATTATATTATTGGAAAAAAAACTTTTGGAGAAGGAAGCGATAATTAAGAAAGAAAGAGTTATGAGCAAGAATACTAACATAGCATTAGATAATTTGTATGCAGAGTTAGAGGAACTGAAAAAACAGGATACCAATTACATAGTAATAACGAGATGCAATAAGAAGCAGTTTAATACAAACATGAGAATTACAATTTACAGGTGTTTGGAAAATAATGTTGCAGTTGACACAACATCAAAAGTAATAAAAGCATGTGTATCACTTCTAACAAATCTGTCTATAACTGATATACCTACTCCTGCAACTATATCACAGATGGGACGAGAAATGGGTATTCTGGCCGAAATACAAGTTGCAGAGACAATTATCAACTCTGAAGGTGTTACTATCGCGTTTGATGCAACTACTTTAAATGGCATTCATATTAATGAAGTACACATCGTCTCACAAAAGACTGCTTTAACAGCAAGCATTACAGCCCTTCCTGGAGGTCGTGCAAACGACTATGTTCAGCACATTCTCGATACTGTTGAAGATATTGCAGCAACCTATTCAGCATTCAACGGTGTTAGCCCTGCAGAGACGAAGCAGAAAATATATGGAAGCATTCTCTGCACTTTGATTGACCGCGCATAGGTAAATCATGCTGCAATCATTAAACTTAATGATGTTTTGGACCGGCAGTTGCTGGAGCTGCACTGCCATCTGCACCTACTTGATGGCATTGCTAATGAGGTAAGAAAAGAACTCAAAAAGTTTAACTTGTCCATTGCTAGTACAACCTTTGGACATGACTGTCGTGTAGCTAACCTTCTGCACAGCATTTCAAAGTTAAGGTAAAGTACGGTTAAATTCTTACAAATTCGTACATTTTAAAATAATTTTTGTACTTTAAAATAAAATATATTATATGCATTAAATGCTTGATGTTTAAAAAAAAAAATTATATACATATAAATTTTTATTTTTATCAAATATAAAAATTTATATGTATATATATCTTCAGATACAAAGAGAAAGGAGATCCATCTGGCTTCAAGCTCTTCTTGAAGGGTCACAAACTGTCCTGTGGGATTTTTCCTCGCTATATTGGAAATAGACTTCATATTATTTTCCATATGGCTGGGGTTGTATTTTTGTATAGAGATTTGTTAATAAACTATCTTGAGAAGTCCTGCAATAATCAAACATCACTCAGGACTTCTGTATTAGGAGATTTAAAAAATCCCTCAATTTGCATTCAGTTGCAAGCACTTGGTCTCTTAGGAAAACTTTTGACTGGACCGTGGATGGCCATTTTCTATTCAGAGGAAACCAAGCGGAATCATTTTGACATGGTATTGTAATATATATATATATATATATATATATATATATATATATATATATATATATATATATATATATATATATATATATATATATATATATATATTTATACCGTATATATAAGAATGACTTTTTACAATTTTTTTATTACATTTCAAATAGTTATTTTATATTATTATTTTTATATTTATTGTAGTTTATTGACTTTCCATATTTTTTCAGGTTGCTTATCTCAAAGTTGCTTTGGATTTTGAGAAACTTGCTGAGGGGGAACCAAATCTTTTCCTCACATCTCAGTTGGATGCATTTGGTCGCCCTTTGCTGGAAGAAATCACGCTTAAATCGCTACGTGTAACAAATTGCAGCATGTTAGATAACCTCAATATATGCATTGAACTTTTGTCTAGGTCATCCTTAGCAGTCATGTCTCGCCAGTTATCACGCTATTTGACTGGTCCTTTGGCCAATCCATCAAATGAATTAAAGATGCAAGCTACAAGCGCACCCCTTCATAATATATGGGCAGAGAGAACGCTTGGCAAAGGAGATTCTTTGGTTAAAAGAGCACCAAATGCAGAGATAACTTTTATTGACAGCATCTGTAAAGTTAAGGCTAATCACTCTGTGGATTGGCTTCTTACTAAAACTTTGGAAGACAGAGAAAAAGTAATCTCTTTTTGCATTAAAAGGGGTGTTCATGCAAGACAAATTGGCAAAGAAAGGCACCTAAGAAATGAAAAGGTCTTGATTGAACGGATAAAAGAAAAAGGGCAGAAAAGAGAGATGAAAGGCAGAAATAAACTAGGCAAGGAAATAAAACAGGGTTTAATGGAAGGCATGACGGCGGATGATAAACTTTTTAATTCTGTAACTGGACACCAACGAGACATGCTACACAAATTCTTTGAAGAAAATCTTAAGTCCCTTGAAGGCATGGAGATTGAGCATGTCTGGAATGTGTCTAATTCTGATGTTTTGTTTAGAGGTAAAATTCTGAAAGTATCTTGTCCGAAGAATACCTCAGATAAATTAAGTACTTTTCTGGTAGCTTATTGAAAAACAAATGAACTTGAGGAGGATGCAGAGGATTTTAAACTAAATTTAAATATTATCTTGACAGACATGGTTTTGGGAGATTTGGTTTTTTGTTGACTTGTTATTTTGAGTTTAACATAAAATATTTATTTTATACAAGCTTCTATTTTATTAGGTCATTATTTATTTCAAAAAATACATTTTTCATGTTTGTTTGTTTTTTATCAATCTCCCCTTCCTCCCCTTTGCTAGGATGAAGGGGGGGGGGGGGGATGCAGAACCCCCTCCCCCTTTTTTTTAATTGTATTTTACTCCCGCATTGAGTTAACATTAAAATTATTGGTTTATTTGAAAAAAACAATTTGTAATTTTTTTCAACCCCCCTGTCTGTCATATGTGATTTCTCCTTCCCCCCTGGCTCACTTACTTTGCCTTGCTATGTGATATTTTATGAATAACTCCTTGAATACTTGCATTTTATGTTAGAAATATTACTAATGCTCCTAATTTCATAAAGTTATTAAAATTTAAAAAATTTTGATCACAAAAAATAGCAGAATTTTCATATATATTATTGTCATCATTTTCAATGGTTTTAAATTCCATAAATTTTTTTCTACTTATCATAAAATAACATGTTTGGTACCATTTTAAAGAGAATTTGAAACTCTATCTAATTATTGTGGTTTTATAGTTTTTCAGAAAACTTGAAAAAAATATTTAAGTGCCTACTTTTGTGTAATTTAAAGGAACTATATGTATTATACAAAGAAAACAATCCAGAAATACAATTAAGTTACTCAAAATTTGCTTTACTTAGACCAAAATGGTGCATTTTGCCAGGTGTAAGTGGTACAACCAACTTTAAGATAAACCTGTCATATTGGCTAGTGATGTGGAATAAAATAATAACAACTTGTTATACATAAATATTATAAATTTCATAAAAAAAAACATCTTTTGGTACCAAGTTATAGGTATTTGAATAAGAATTGGCAAATTTATAACAGTTTATGTAAAAAAAAACTTTTTTTGACAGTTTTATCAAGAAATCCATATATAAAAAAATTACTACTAAAAATGTCGTAACTTTTTATAGAATTGTCCAATTTTCATAACTTTCTCACCTTTAAAATAGTGTATTTGAGAACTTTCTAATGATATATATCATTCTAGTATTTAATCAATTTAAAAAAAAAAAAATCAGTTAACCTAAAATAAAGGAAGATAAATTGACTGATAAATACAGAGACTGATAAACACAGATAGAATAAGAGTAGAAAGTTCAAAAAACCAAATGAAAATGTTGAAAAATGGAAAAAAGAGAAAAAGAGAAAAAGAAAAGTTGGAGCAAGAGTCCTTTCAACAAAATTGAAGATTTATATAAACTGTCTACAAAGCAACTTGATGATTTAGAAAACATAATGTCAAATAGAATGGAGTAATATCATCTAATCAAGCATTAGATCTGTTTACATAAAGTAAATATATATTTACCTTAAATATAATTAGTCTTTCCTTCCATATTTTAGTATCAGAAGCATAAGGACGATTTAGCAATGTAACATATTTACCAAACAATAGCGTATGAGCATCTTCGATGTTCTTCTGAGTTTTTAATTGACGTCCAGCTTCTTGCAAAACTTTGAGTTCTTCTTTTAAAATGTTAATTTTATATTTACCTAACAAATATTTAGTTAAGGTGCAGTCAAAAAATATAAATAACAAGCACAAGGCCTTCATAGTTTTTCAGATGAATTGGCTTACTATCGTTGACATTTTACGGTTTTTCATGGACTTTTTATTTTGTTATTGACCATTTCGCAAAAGACATTTTTTAAAATAAAGTTAGTTCCCGGTAAAGTGACTCGAACTTTTGTTACCTCAATCTGTTTTATTATGCTGCTAAATTTTTTTCTATGCTATCTTTAGAGTGTAAAGCGTGATACAGTAACTTCTTTAACTAAAACATTTTTCATGGTTTGAGGATCTCAAAAACTTTCCCAGATACACCAAATTAGGCAAAAATATGGAAAAGATAAGCATGCCAAACTTTATCGAAAGCTTTAGATATGTCAAGAGCAATAGCCCTTCCCTAGCTGCCTTTATCTAATATATTGTAGAATCATTTAGTCACAGCAGTTAGCGAGTCAGCCATTGAACGAGATGATCAAAAACCGCATTGGTTGTCTGACAGAATGTACACCAGAATTTTTAAAAATTAGAACCACGATGCTATTTTACAGCACGCAGAAAAACAAGGTTTATTTAAACACTAAAATAATTTCAAGGTTCAATTAAGCACTAAGAGTTGAAGAGAGTTCAGGAGAGCTTGTTTTTAAGAGATGACAAGAGTATTGTCTAGACCACAAGGTGTAGAAGAGTTTAATTGAGAAATAACTTTAGTAACGGAAGCCAGAGTGATTTGGATGTCTTACAAAAGTTTAATCTGTTTAATTGGTTTTAATTAAACTTAATAAAAGTCTTAATTAAACTTAATAAAAGTCTTAATTAAACTTAATAAAAAAAGGTTTAATTTTGACATACAATAATTAGCTTATACTAGTTATGTGTATAGTAACGTATTGCACCTTCTTACATCGTGTGCAATCCTGTCCGCTTTCTCTATGCTATCTTTCTAACTTGACTTCTATTATCTTTCAGTTTAACATATCTTTGTTCTTCCCAAAATCACTTTACTCTTAGTCCGTAGAGCGGGTTATGATGCTCCTTGGGGAACCAAACTTGTCTTGGCGGGCGTTGGTAATGTGGCCTCTATATGGGAACTAGCCGGAGGAGGATAAACCATAATACCAAAGATAAACATATGTAAATATATATATATATATATATATATATATATATATATATATATATATATATATATATATATATATATATATATATATATATATATATATATAAGCCAATTATGTGTATTGTATGTGTAACGTATTGCACTTTCTAATATTGTGTGCAATCCTGTCCGCTTTCTCTATGTTATCTTTCTAATTCGACTACTTCTGTCTTTCCCTCTAACATATCTTCGTTCTTCCCAAATTCGCTTACTCTTTGTCCGTAGAGCGGGCTATGACGCTTCTTGGGGTGCCGATTTTGTCTTTTCGGGCCTTGGTAATGTGGCCTCTGAGTATAATAAAGTTTTTCTTAAAATTGATGAAAATGTATACAAAGTTTCCATACCTGACTGGATCCAGGAGGTTACAAAGGAGCCGCATTTACAATGGTGGCGCCAGCATTTTTTGGTCTTTGAGATAGCTAACTTCCAGACATGGAGCAAGTTCCAAACATTTATATGTTTATACATATATTATTTATACAAATAAGGATGTTTTGCAAAATATTATGATGATTGGAGCTTGGGAACAAAAAAACCCAAAAAATTTAGCCGACACTGCCCCAAACGTGAGAGCAACAAGTTGATAAAATAGTTTTTGTACTATTTTCAACTAGACTTATACTCATCGATAAATTTTAAGTTTCATAGTATTATCTCTCAGCGTTCAAAAATTATGACCATATAAAATTTGCAATCCCCTCAAATTGAGGGGGTTTAAACTTTATATAGTCATAACTTTTAAACGCTAAAATATTTTACTATGAAATTAATTTTATTTCCTCTAAAGAATTTTCGAACATTGGTGCTTACCGATTACTCAGCAGATTTTCCGCAAGTTTGGCAGACTTTACACTATATTTTTGAATTTCGTTTTGTTCTATTTTCTTATTTTGGATAGACTCATAAGTTTATTGCTAGATTTTTTTGCTTTTTTTATTCTTTTAAGAATTTTCATTTTGGGAGTCTTTCGCTTCTTCATCCGCATGTCGGTACAAAAAATTCCGTCAATAGCTTATAATTTAAAAACTCAAACGTTTTGAGTTTTTAAATTTGAGTACTTTTGCACCAACCAAAGTTTTTTTTGCTGTGTAGGATTGTTAAGTTATTAATATTTTTGTGTGTATGATTATCAACTTATTGAGCAGCCGATAGTGCAGTGGTTAGCGCTCTTGCCTCAGAAGCTAGAGATCCATCGTTCAACGTCACGACTGGGCAAGTTTTATAACATCGGTATGGAGGCGTGAACTTCCTTTTGAATGCACTTCCACTGTGCTCTCTGATAAGAATGTAAGGACTACTAAAAATGTATGACTACATAAAAATGTATGAATGTAAAGGCTCCTAAAAATAATTTGAAAAAAAAAGGTGCTCCCTAAAGCCCTTACAGCTTACGGTCTTATCACAGAGCATCTCCATCAAATGACTAAAAAAAATTTTTTTTAATTTTATATAGGTGCTTTAAGAGGTCCTCACGGTCTTATCACAGATGAGATGAGCATTTAATTGTAAGTTCACGCCTCCTTCATAACCGATGTCGTAAAACCTCTTGCCCAGAGGTTTTGGAATTGAAATTTTGAATTTGAAATTGAAATGGAAAATAATTGAAATAAATAAACCATTTTTTTTTTTTGCCAAATTTGAAAACTTTTAAAACCATCTTCCCAATCTCAGTTACTTTTACTAAAGTTTCACATCTTTAAATTTTAATCAAAGCAAAACAAAGCCAAAAATAACAGTATATTAATTTTCATATTTTTTTTAGAAGTTAAAAAAAATGTTGATCTAAAAAATTATCAAAAATAGTATCTGCTGTTCTTTGTAAAGAAAGCATTGACAGCAGAAGTTTGAAAAGACCACTGCACAAAAAAATAAATTACTCATCAAGGTTTCTCTTTTTTCCATATATTCTTTAAAAGCTTTAGCAAAGGTAGACTTCTTAAAATCACCTTTGCTTAACTGTTTCTTCAACAGCTGCTAGACAGACAAAGTGTTTTAACGTGAGTTCCTTAAAACCGAAAGTTTTGAGTTTAATTATTATTAAAATTAAAACAATGAAATTTTAAAACCAAATCAATTATTGTGGAGGCGAGCTCCGGCTCGCCTTCACAAGTCTTGGTTAAATCCCGGGTTTTCTGTTGTTTAATTTTGCAAAGAAATTTTTTTTTTTAATAATGATATAAGCAGAAGAAGTAATAAAGAGTTTTATACAGTGTTTTAAAACAAATTAAGTCAGTAAATTAAGTTAATTTGTTGGTTATTAAATATAGGACGTAAAAAGATTGGTCGAATATTTAATGTGGTTGCACAACGCATCAAGCGCAAATCTATTTCAATTAATACAATACAAACCAATGATATGCCAACCAAATAAAAACGTTCTAAACCAATGATATATAAATTAGGTGATACCTCAAGTTTTAGTATCAAAAATTAAAATACTTTAATATTAAATGTTAATTGGTGCAAAATTTAATGCTTTTTTAATGGTATCTTGCGTTCTATTGCGGTTATTTATAAAAATGCAGAAACGTGGGAATTTTCAACTGGTAAAGTGCGAGAAAAAAATTTGGAATAAAAGACTTGCGGGCTTCAGTACATACATTTACTGACTTAAGAAGAACTAACAAAAGAGCGCTTTTACATTGACTGAAGGTTTAGGCTGGGGGAGTGGTGGAGTTGGGAGAAATTTTCTGCACTTTATTTCCGTTTTTTACCCGTTAAATATTTCCACATTTCCATGTATTTCTCAAAAGAGGAGAAATAGATTTCAGGTAAGTCTGAGGCTATATACTAGGAGGCTTGGGTTTTTTCGGAGGAGGCAGGCAGGCCCCTGAAGCACGGTGTCTGGGTTATTTTTACCTATTTCAACACATTTTCAAGCTTCATGTCTCTATCTTTGAGAAGTTTTTGCTTTAGTTTTATTATTATTATTTCATTTATTTAACACTCAATGTAATTTACAACGCAAAAAGAAAAATAAGAAAGTTATTTCTCGTGATTTTCACTTAAGAGTTTTTCTTCCAGAATTTGCTTAAAAATTTCTCTTTGTTTTTTTGCATTCCAGCACTCTATTAGATAGTTTAAAGTTTGTTCAACTCTGAGGGAATTTCACTCTCAGAAAGTGCTATTTTACCTTCTTTTTACTTTAAATTAAACTTTGAAAATTAAACATCTGAAAACGGCATAGATATTGGATATTGCCAAAAACAAATGTAAAATAAAGGGTATTTCAATTGTGAAAAGATAATGTCTGATTTATTAAGAAGACGACGGAACAAGTTTAATTGATTTTGTTGAATACTTTTTTAAATTTTATGGATTTTAAATAGCGAATTGTATAGTTCTTACTGTGTTTTGAAACATTTAAAAGCAATTTTAGCGCATTTCTTCCAATTATATTTAGCTTTTTCATCAAGGCAGAATTATTTTCACATAGCTCTATACCATACGTTAAGGTAGGGACTGTCAATGATTTATATATATAGGAAATAGAACATGGGTGGGCAAACCGGATTCCAGATTGAATAAGAGAACAACAGCTCTAAAGTTTGAGATTTTTTTATCCGCATTTGTATAACTGAGTGAAGGAAAATTGAATGTTTAGTATCCCATGTGAATCCCAGATTCACATGGGATACTTATAGTATCCCATGTGAATCCCAGATTCACATGGGATACTAAACATTCTTTTTTTTTACCAGAAAATGTTATCGTATTGGTTTATATTTGTGCTTTACCTGAAGTCAAGATCCCAGTTTTTTCGGCATTTAGTTAAATACTATTTAGATTACTGTAAATATTAAATGTTTTTACAAGCTTATTGAGATCAGAGAGGGTAAATCTTACAAGTATGGTATCATCCTCATATGCTACCACATTAGTAAAGTTACCGAATATAGACCTTAATTTTTAATAGTTTTAAGAAGACTTTAAGTGTAAATGTTATAGAAGTGAGGCGAACGAACCGATCATTGTCTTACTCCTTGCTTTAGAAAAAAAGAGTTTGGTTTACAACCTTGATATAAGGCTTTTGCACTATTACTGTTATATAACGAAGAGGTAGTGTTAACTATACAGAGTGGTAACTTTTTATCGAAATAAAATTTATCAAATAGGATATCCCAGTTGCAGCTATCAAAAGCTTTTTCTGCATCTAAAGAGCATAGGTACACAGAAAAATTGTTGCTGTTGTAATGTTTAATTGTTTCGCTAAATAGAAATTCAGCATGTTGCGTTGAACAGTTAGCGTTGAATCTAAATTGTAGGGGGTGAGTATCTCTGATATTCGGACATATGATGAGGGTTAAGTATTCTTGAACCTTTTTAAAAATTGGTATAATGCTAATACCACGATAATTGCTTGGGCTATCTAAAGATTTTTTGTACAATTTAACAAGGGGTACAATAATTGACGTCGACATCGATATTTGTGTCTATCCATATTTAATGGAGTAATTAAAAAATTTGATGAACCATTTTGTTAAAGTATCACAATTTGCGTATTTCAAATGTTCTGCTAATTTAATGAAAGTGTCAGGAAATATTTTTAGGTTCGAAATAGCCCTAATTATATTTTCTTCAGTTATTGTAACATCATCATGTTTTGTACACGGGAGAATTCTCCGATTTTCATTATCATGTGTTATTTTGAGAGTATTCAGTACTCTTTCGAAGTGGTTCGCGAAATCTGAAGTAATGTATTCTTTGTATTTATTACTATTTATGGTAAATAATCTAGAATTTATGTCTTTGTTTAAACATCTAAAAGCATTCCAAAAGGTTTTTGGCCTTATATTTTTTAACTTTTCAATTTTAATATCTTTTAAAAATAAATAAATCTTTTAAATTAAAATAAATCTTTTAAAAAACCAGAATCTCTCCATTTTTTTAAATGAATTGAAAGAATAGTTTTAGAGCGATTCAGGTGTCCACCAAGATTTTGATTACAAAAATTGCTTTTTATCTTTTAAAGTTTCTTTAAAAGCTATTTGAGCGCTGCCAGCAATTATTTTATATTTGAACAAGGTTGTAATCATAATTATAAGCAATTGGTTAAATGATCATTATATGAATTTATAAAGTTAGAATCGTTCTAAGCGTCGCTTGGAATATTAGTATCTTCTGCTATTTTAATGGTATTGTATTTAGTGTGCTTACCTCTAACTTCAATTGTTATTAATAGTGGTAGGTAATCTCTCAAATTATTTGAGCACCTTGGATGAATAATTCATTTAGGATTTAGAAAACATGTATATATTGGTACGGCGACGTGATCAATACATGACGAATTTCCCAGCAAACATGCTTTCAGCGGACCGTGATGCGCAAAGCCGCCGCCGGTAAGCCAGTGCTGACCCTTTGTTATGCCTAATGCGGCTTGCCGCTGCCGGGTAGCTGATGCAGGACAGGCATCCTATTTTATGTTGGCTTTCCGCCATCGGCCGAAGAGCGATAAAACACTTCGTCGCCGCCAATTATTTTTCCGTACACCATTGGCAGTATCATTATCCGTTGGCAGTATCTTTTTTAACCTTGGGCAGTATCGCATTAAGTAGAGATTAAAATTCGGTTACCGTAGCTTTAATTGAAAACATTTTCGCTTTAAGTGCACGAGGCAAATAAAAGCTGCGTGGAACATTAAATTTCTTATATGATTGAAGACCTTTTTATTTACCAAATATAGGAAAGCTGTATGGTTTTAGCTTTGAAACAGTTGCAATATGAAATGTCTTCCAAAGTTAAAAAAGTCTTTTAAAGCTTAAATAAAAGTAAATACACACATTCTGTTAATATATAAAAAAGCATCAAACAAGACTGATTAATTCAAATAAGGAAATAAAAATTCAACAAGGTGGTTAAACAAAACGTTATACAAGTTAATCACTGCTCTTATAAGAATTAGTAACTAAGATCTTTTGAGGCAAACCTAAATGATCTACAAATTAAACTGGTTGAGTATCAAAGATATGAACAATTCTAGAGCTCTGAAGTTTATTTATAACTTTGTCCCCAAAATTTATAACATTCAAGAGAAGAATAAAGAAAATGCTGTCAATAACAAATAATTTTTAATCGAGATGAGATAGAAAATTTAAAGAAAGAACACTAAGAAGAAAAAGCAACTAACATTTAATTGTTAATAAAATGAAGAAAATTCAGTTTTCTTTATCTAAGAATACAGATAAATGTTTCAAAGACTTAAAAACATTTAATACCAAATACATATATATTAATACATACATATATACATACATAAATACATACAAACATACATACATACATGTTTTAAATGTTGGCATCTTCAATAGAATTTAATTGTATAGAATTTTGAAATAAAACCTCTTTTTATTCGTATTTGTTAAAAATATATTTACTTTTACAATATTTTAAGGGAATATTGATACTTTTGTCATCAACTATATAAAAACCCAATGGTTTTTATACCCAATACACACACACACACACACACACACACACACACACACACACACACACACACACACACACACACACACATATGTATATATGTATGTATATGTATGTGTATGTATGTATGTGTGTATAAACTATTTAATTTGAAACAAATTTGTGTAATATATATGAGTAGATATTTAAGATCAAGCTTTGCCCAACAATCATAAATTTTATTAAAAATATATTATGATATATTTTGTAGATAAATTTTTTTAAAGCATTTCCTCTCATGGGAATGAAAAAATTAATGTATTGCTTTTTTTATAGTTTTTGCTATTTATATTTTTTTGTATAATAATAATATTAGTTTACAATATATCGCCAGTTATTAGATCATAAAAAATTTTAATAAAGTCTCATTACTTGTCCTGTTAATATCACATTATCCACTTATAATTATTAATTAATTATAAATCTGAAAACAGTAGTCTTGCATAATTATAAAGTTATAATTATTATAATTTTATTACCTGAAACATTTTTCCATAAAATTGCCATAAATTTTTTGTAGCATATATTTAATTATTAGAAAATAAAAATAATTGAAAAAATCAAAAATTTATTACAAAAAAACTAATAGGTAAATTCATAAATTAATGAAATAAATGACTGCTCTAAAATAAATTTAACTTCAACTTTCTACTCTCCCATTTATCTTTGAATAATAGCAGTGAATGTGATGCAGTAGAAGAATATTACAATATTATTCTACTGCTTCTATTGTAATTACTATTATAACTTTATTTATATTATAACTATACAACTTTTATGATTTCTCTATTATACCTATTGCTATTAATATTACTTTTAGTATTACTATTATTACAGTTATTGTTCTTTTTATTGCTGTTACTACTATTATTTCTATTATTAATATAGCTATTATGGCTTCTGTTAATAATCATGACAGTTTTCTTTAAATTAATGATATCATTTCGATTTTTTGTATTCTTATTAACTGTATTGTTACTATATCATTATTCTTAATTTCTATTATTAACAATGTTATATCAATTAACCTTGTTTTTGTTATTATTATAACATTTTTTTACATTTTGCTTATTTTTGTTTGCCTATTGCTTTTATTTAAATAAATGTACTACAAGAAAGACTACACTCGATTGGTTGAATAATTCTTTGTAATTGTTCCTCGCTATGTATATAGTGAATAGTTGTATATTGAATACAGTTATATAGTGAAAACAAATAATTGATTTATTCAAATATAAATCATTTTGCACTGTAGCATTTAAAAAAAATCTGTTTACGTAAGGAAGAATGAGGACTAAAGGCATGACAGTTTTTCAAAAATAATCACGTGATCATGCGCATTTGAACTTTTAATGCATTCCGAGCAAAACATAATCGCGGTTTTATTTTTCTTTTTCTCTTTTGTCTTCCTGAAGAAAAACGGGGAAAAAAAAAATTTACCTTATTTTTTCAACAGCGACATAAATAATGCAGTGGCGTTGCATGGTGTCCAAAAGTCGTTTTTCACCGGTGCAAAAAATGAAGAGGGTGCAAAAAGAAAAAAGCAATACGCTTTTTTTTTTGCTCCGGACGCTAATAATCCACCTTACTTCACTGAAACAAGACGAAGATAATTGTTACTAAAATTCGTTTTTATATATGAATGTTATAAAGTGAACATTTTTATTAATATGTCTTAAGCAAACAAATAGCGGCTAATTTTGTTTTTAGTTTTAATTTTCTTCTTGAAGAATTACAAAATCATGGCTGAAATAAATGATAAAAATGTAGCTGAAAACTTTATACCAAATAACTCAAGCTTTGAGATAAGAGGTTAGGATTTAAAACTGTATATTTTTTCAACAGCTTAAAACGTCATTTCCTCAGTTACTTTTCTTTCAATCGATTTTAGGACTTTTTTTTCAAGATTTTGTTTGCTATTCCTTTTAAATATAGATCGCAAAAAGAAAAAAAGTTGTAAGATCAATGGGTTTCATTTGTTTTATAAAGAAACTGTGGTATGCATTTTTACTTTACCTTTTTACTTTCATCTAACAAAAAAACATTAAATTTTAATAAGTTTTGACCACAAACACACACAGATATATATATATATATATATATATATATATATATATATATATATATATATATATATATATATATATATATATATATATATATATATATATGCTTAGAGAAATGCAATGACAGAAGCCGAAAATAATAAAAGCAAATTACCGGATTTCCCTGAAATGAGCAAGATTGGTTCAGAAAGATGGAAAGCATTAGATGATTCAGAAAGAAAAGTAAAAGTCTAATATAAATTATTTTAAATATTTGCAATTTATTATATTTAAACGCAGTTTGTTATTATATTTTTTCATTTAAGGAGTGGAATAAAAAAGGTCAATTGATGCGTGAAGAAGAAGATTATGGATTAGTTGAAGTGCTTGCTTGTCCATCTTGCACAAGGTCATTTAAGAAAGGAAGTGAATACCGCTATCATATTAAGAATTGCGTTGAAAGCAAATGCGACAAATGTGATAAAGTTTTTGTCAATAAAATTCAGCTTAAAAAGCATTATCTAAAACATACAGGATCAGTTTGTTGCGATGTGTGCCTAAAGATTTTTTCTGGACAACAAGCTCTTAAAAGACATAAGGCATCATTACATGACAATCTTAAATTTGAATGCAGTGATTGTAAGAAACATTTTTCGACAAAAGGAAACATGTCAAGACACAAAAAATTGCATAAAATTTAAACAAGTTATTTTTTTAATTGTAATTTTGTACATCCAACACCGTGGAAAGTATGCACCCTTGATCCTAAAATCCAGGGGCAAAAAATTAAACAAAATAAAAAATTAAACTCAAAATTATAAAACTAATTTAGAGTTATCTTTATTTATGGTTCTAATAAACTTTAATAAAGTCTATATGTTTTTATATTCAATAATAGTTCTCCAATTATTATTATTTTAGGGGTTTGTTATTAACTTAAAGCTCCCTGGATTTCAGGATCAAGGGTGCACACTCTCCCCAACACACATAGTGATTGCAATTTTACTGAAAAAAATCAAGTTAATTTGACTAAATGGCTGAATCACTCTTCACTTTTAGTTGGCATTGTTGAAGATAATAACTTTGTTTTTGATCCCATCGTTCTACCAGCTTTTTTAGAAACAGTGACATTGTCTTTAACGCACTGGGAAAAAGAATGTGCTCTTTTAGTACTGACGTCAGATACATTAAAAGGGTTATTGCGCTTTGCCATTCCTTTTTGAACAAACGTCTTGCTCCCATTTTTAACTTTACGCCGTTTAACTGCCTCAGGTTGAACTTTTATTTTTACTCCATTTCTTTTTTTACGAAGAGTAGTATTGGTTATGCGTTTAGACTGATAAGAATCAATACCAAAACAATGCAATGATGAAGTTAAATTAGAAATTCTGTTTTCATTCATTTTCAAGCGAGTACAAAATTTTGAAACTCCTTTCAAAAAATCAGCATTATTATAATGTTTATCCACTAAGATGCTCATTATCTTAAACGCCTCCGCCAACTCTTGCTGAATATTTTCAGTATTAGAGGTTTGAACAGTACTCGCACTTATGCCTATAAAACAGCCTCCCTTAATTAATTTCAACAAAAGTTTGTGAATATATTTAAAAAAAAAAGATCAAAAGCGGCAAACATTATAAATCGTTAGATTGAAATAAGTGTGGACTATTTTTACCTTGATTATTTACACTTTCAGAACGATCAATTTTAAAATCGGTTTCCTCATAATTACTAATATCTTCACAACACGAAGGTGCGCTACAACAAAATATTATGAACGTTAATAATTGGGATAAAACTTTAATAAACATTACGAATTTCTATTCAAAGATTTAGGTTCCTAAACAACTGTTGGTTAAAAGCGTTTGAAAAACACCGATTGTAAACATTACCTGAAGTTATCTTTATAGATAAACTCATCATGCTTGTCTCTAACATAATCATGTAATCCTTCGTAAAGAGAGTCGGGTAGAATTGCTCCAATAGCAATGTATGAACACAGCTGTCTCTCTTTACAGCTTAGATATGGAAGAAAATTTGTACTATATAAATGTTTTTTCCAAACAATGTACTGATGTTTACAAGGTGAACCGTCACACCCTACAGAACAATCACATATACCTATACTCATATCTACATTATAATGTACACCAGATAAATTGAAACTAGGCACAGTGTACAATTCTAGTCCAACTTTGGATATTTGTTTTTCAACATTTTGAAGCACTTCTGGAGAAGGTAGAGCGAATCCAACTACTTTCTTTCCTTTGTCTCTACCTAAATTAAAAAAAAATTTATTTGTTTTCATTATATGATTACATAATATGTTTCTTTTCATTAATATGAAATTAATATACCCATAAATCGATTGCTGTAAATACCATCGAATCGCCCATTTGCAATGCTCAGAAGTTTGGCTTTATAATGTTCATTAAAATCTTGGGTAAGTTTTTCCACAAGTCCATTGACATTAACCTAACAAATAAATATAACTTAAATATAAAAAAAACAAACATCAATGAGAACACAGTAAAAGTGTTTTTAAATATTTGGCATATAATCAGCGGGCATTTGTAAGTATGTATACGGGCAGGGGTTACCTAAAATCATTGAAAGGGGAAGAGTGTGCAGTGGTTTTAAAGCGTACATACTTTTTGAATGCTACCCAAACCTAAATACTTGATTAAATAGTATTTAAAAAAAACATTTCCATTACCTCTTTTGTTCTGTTTAGTATGTTATCCTTCAATACCAGAAATTGAGCTTCAACATAATTGTTGGTATTATTACCCCTGATTGTAATGTTTTTTCGAAAGCATATGCACCATCGTTCTTTTATCTCAAAAACATTTAACAGGTACAATTTTAATTTTGGATACTTCTCTCCATACAAATCAATAATGTTACTGAAAGCATCTTCACATTCTTTAACTGAATTAGCATAAACAACTTTTTTAAACTGGTTAATAATACCTAAAAAAAAACCTACATGACAATAACATTTTAAACACACATATATATGTATATAATGTTATTATATTTATATATATATATATATATATATATATATATATATATATATATATATATATATATATATATATATATATATATATATATATATATATATATATATATATATATATATATATATATATATGTATATATATATGTATATATATATATGTATATCTATGTATATATATATTTATTTATATTAGACTGCTTCATTTTGAGGTCATAAGATAAAGCTAAAAATGAAGAGTAGTAGACTTCATTGTTATCATCAAGTCCATTTCAATCGCAATTTTACAAAAGGTTTTCAAGGTGGTACAAACCTTTTGAGGTGAGATTAATTTATGTAATTCGTGTAAGAAAATTTATCTCATTCAAATTACTAATTACGTTAAGCTAATTACAACTTTAACTTTATATTAAAAAAAATAATTTAACTTTAATCTTAAAGTACCATGGAGTCTTATCTGCTGCCCAGACCCATATTTTATAAGCAGAATTTTTTTTATTTTGAATTTGGACCACTCTTAGGGGTCGCTTAAGTGCCTCAAAAGTCATATAGTTTAGACTTTCGAACCCTTTTTGTTGCCCATTTTTGGTATGTTTAAGCAAGTTTAGCAAAACTCAAAAAAATTATTATTTTTTCTTTCCTGAGTTTCCACTTCCTTAGAAGAACCAAACAAAAATGCATGGTAATTTTACTTATGGGAAATCTATCTACAAAATCTGTCTACAAAATCGCAAATCTATGTGAGTTTTTCCAATTATTGCGCATTATGCTAACTTTTCAGATATTCTTTATAATTATTAATCCTATATTTATAATCTCATATTAAAAAAAAACATTTTCCTTTAAATTAAATTTAATGAGGGGAAGTGGTCTCTCAAATCCTACTTCGGAGCCCTAAATTGATAAAAAAATTTATAAAAATTTTGAGTACATTTTGAAAAAGTTAGGGTAAATTTTCATCTTTATTTTTATCTTTATACTAAATTTACCTTTTGAAGTAGGGGGTTAAGGGGTCAAAAATTTAGCATGGTCACAACTTTTAAATGTTTGAATGTTAAACGTTTTTTGAATAAATGGGGCAAACATTATAAGGTTTTTTTGTTCCCAGACTTTCATCAACACAATTTTTTGCTAAGCACCCTCATTTGATACAGACATGAAAATGCCTAATTTGTAGTCTGCGCAATTTCTAAAATGCTTCATAAACCACTGGCTACTTTACTGCTACGATTTGCTACTAGTTTTACATGTAAAGAAATAAAATATTATTGTATACTTGGTCTATCCTGATTTAAAATGCCATGATTCTTATCAAAAAGCCACCTCCAAACTTGTTGCATCAAGTGAAACACACATAATAATAAGTTAGACTTTGGCCATACAGCATGTAGTGCATCTTTTAACTCGTCACAATTATCTGTCATTATTACATCAGGACCAACTACTCCTTTACCATGGAAAGCATAATCTAAAATAAAAGTTATTGATTTCTTTTTATCACCAAACGAAGGAAAAATCTACATTGCACAGCAACCTATTAAAGAATTTTAACATCACGATACTGATATGTTTCTAAAGATTGTTAAAGTTAGTTTTATTACCGGTAGCATTAAGTAAAATACTATTGGACTAAATGAAATTGAAAATATTAAAAATTAAAGAATTACCTGGTAATAAAGAAACAAACATTTCTAATGCTTTAGTTAATGTATCAGTGGTTTCGTCACTTGTTACAATAATTCCTAAAGGAAGTGCACCAGAAAAAGAATGTGTAACCATAAGAAATACGCGTAGGTTATATTCTTCCATCCCACCACTAGAATCCAAAAATACCATCTCACCAGAACTTCTTATCTGAAGTAATTAGGAAAATTAATTTTAAATAAATAAATGTTTTGAAAATGCATGACGTCTATGAGTAAATGAAAAACTCAATTAATTCTGTAGTAGTTTTTAGCTAGGGTTGGCATTAATAATTTTGTCCAACAAAAGCTGCTTTCACCAAATACTGTTTTTTAGGGATATTGTTGCAAAAGGGCCTCTCCACCTAGATGCAGTAAATAACACATTTATATGTTTATTGTATTTTTTGCATTGTTAACAAAAATTAATACAATTGCTGCCTTGGTTAAAGTGTTAATAAATTAGATTTTAAATTCTAAATCTGACATTGAAAATGAAGCACAAGAAAGGAATGAAGTACAAGAAGGTTACAGAATTGTGCACTTCATCTGTATACTGTCATTTTGCCCAAGGTTAACGTCCCCTTTCTAGATACTTTACCTTTTAAGTCAGCAATTTCTGTTTTATCTCCTTTTTTATTTGACCAGATTTTTATTTTACAAAAGTTCTGTTTAGAATTATTAACTAAAGTCATATAAAATATGTTTTAAATGAATTTCAAACAAGATATTTTTACTACTTTTAATATTATTGAAAAAAAATTAAAAAATATAATGTAAAATAAAAATAAAAACCAACTTTTGCACCAGGTTAAAAAAACAAAAAAAGGAACACGTTGTTGTCAACAGTAATTTTAAGCCTCAAGTTTTATAAGTTCATTTTTTTATGTAAATTAAGTGTGTAGTTTGTTATGACTTACTGTTATTGAAACTTTATTTAGGTTAGTAAAGTGTCATAGAAGAGTATTTATATATTACAATAAAAAAAAACATTTTAAAAAAAATTACCATACCCTCTCGTGGACTCTTTTCATTAGAGAAGTTATTATAACAAGAATGAACGGATTATTTTCTGAAACATCAAACTTCTGAAATTTGATAATCGAATCTGTATCTTCGAAAGCCTTTTTCTCAACTAGACCTTTAGTAGTTAGTATAAATAAATTTTACATTATATATATATATATATATATATATATATATATATATATATATATATATATATATATATATATATATATATATATATATATATATTTAGGCTCTTATTTAGGCTCTTATTTCTCATAGTTGTGCTTAAAAAACTTTATTTTCAGATTTTTTTGATATAAACACAGTTAGGGTAAGGTTAATATTTTATTACAAAATAATCAAATAACTAAAAGTTATTTGATAAATTTTGTAATAAAATATAAATTGTAGATAAACAGGGTTAACCTTACCCTAACTGTGTTTATATTAAAAAAGTCTGAGATGTACTTATTAATGATGAAATATGCTAATTTATTACATTTTAGACTAGATAAATATATAATATATAAAAATGGTTTTAAATGACATTAGTTAAGAAAGAAGTATAAGGAGACAGGACTCCTGAGTTTCATATCAACTCATCCAGCATTTTGACAATTGTTCACCACACCATCTCAGATCTTCCTGAAATTTTCAGGGCTTGTAGTACATACAAAGTTAAGCAATTGCTGAAAATTTTAGGCCATTTCGTCAAAAACTTTCTGAGATATGATTTTTGAAAGTTTTAAGGAGTACATGTGACTTTTACATTTTCGAATATTTGAACGTGAATATTTCAAAAACTAAAATAGACATCAGGCTGAAATTTTCAGGATTTACTTATTTTTTAATGCTGAGTTGAATAGTGTTTTTATACCAGATGTAGCTTGCATACAATATCCCCTAAAAATGTCCAAACCTTGCACTTTAGACAGTTTTCACCAATATTTGACCCAATATAGCTAAGAACCTATAAAACATGAAATGATGTTTGTCATACCATTAATAAGTACCTTATATGTGTTTATTATTTTCATAGAAAATTCATGTTAATCAATAATAGTGTACTCATTGCAGGCACTGTCATGCATCACAGTCATCAATTTTTGTGTGTTAAGCCTTTCCTACTAAATCAATTGCTAATTAAAACCATACTTCGTTAAGTTTTTTTTTAAAATACTTTTTGTACATTAAAGTGTATTGTAGTAAATCATCAAAGCAATGAACTGTCAACTAAATTTTATGAAAAAATAGTTTGTTTAAGTTACAAAATCAAATTACAGACTGTTTTTATCAACAATACAAGCAATCATGTAAAGCGATATCAGCGTATGGTGCCAATGCATTCAACTGTTGGTATCTTATGTATTTACACACAGTTCTATTATCAAACAGTTTCTTGCAATTGTCAAAATGCTCAACATCATAGAAATACTGCCTTGCTGAACTGCAGGAAAACATTGGTGATGGAAGATTGCACAGCACATTAGTGAATGGTATCCAGCAGATATCTTCACGATGTGGCCAAGTTAATCTGTTTGTAGGTGTTCTGTTCATGAACTATACCTAGATATCTTGATGTTCATCAGAATGTTCTTTTATGCAACCAATAAACCAATCAGTGTCATAACCAACAGCCACAAACTGTCCTGGATGCAAATCTGTTATACTTGGTTTCGATTCAACTGCCAGGTCAGGTTCTGGTGACACATCGACAATTGTACCCAAGTCATCACATGACAACCTGAATATCTTCAGTTTGTTTTCACTTACTGCCACAAACTGGTGGTGTGACCGTGTGCCAGGTCACATGCTCTGGCAAACACTCCTTCATATGACGTAAGTAGGATGACTGTGCCTTGTCCTTGAAATGATGATCCGTTGATTTATCAGCGGAAGTACCAAGTGAAGTAATGAAGTCAGCAACAGTCTTACATTCAGATTGCAGCTTTGACTGACCATCATGGGTCCATCGTTTGTAATTGATTATGCTATCTAAATCTATATCAGCTTCATTCACATGCGGCAGACACATTTGCGGGAAATGTCATTAGTTTCAAAAAATTTACGTACACTTTCAATCACATCATCTTGGAGAACTTTGTCATGATTTTTCTGTGGGTATGCAAAAATTCAACATGACTTCTTCAGTTTTCTCGCTTGCTTAACAACGTGCCTGGTTGCTCCAAATTCCTGTAAAACTTTTTGTTGGCTCCAGCTAGATGGTGCTAGTGTTACCATCTTAATTTTTTCTTGACTGGAAGCTGTACTACACTTAATCTTTAATTCAGTCACTAGTTTCGTTAAGTCATTGCAACCATCACATTCTATACCATCACCTTCATTTACAACTAGATTAAGAGGTACTTGGATGACTTTGCTTACTTTCTTCTGGATCTCTGTTGTTGCAGTTGCAATTTTACGTTTGGCATATGAAATTCTACTTCAAACAGGCATTGCATGAAGCTTAATTGGTGTGCAGCCAATGCTTGTTATACTGTCATTTAGTTGAGAAAGATGCAAGTCAACGTCTTCTATATCGGTATCACTAGCTAAATGTCCATAACTCTGTTCAGGTTCCTGGGATTATCGTACTTTCGACAGCTTGGGCATAGCTTCTCACCAAGTTTGATTTGTCTCCCAGTTGTTAGTGTTAACTCCTTGGCTTTGTCAATACTGACTGCCCTCAGTGACTGCGACTTTGCATTGATGTTTATTGAATGGATCACAACAACTCTGCTGCAATTTATCAAATTTTTCAAGTAGAACCTGTTTATGGTGGAAGCATATATTGCAGTTCTCTCTCAGGCTTGGTTCTTAACATCAACAATTCAAAGTTAGCATCGGATAATTCTGACAAGTTATGCAAGCCGACACTGCGTGTATGAACTACTACAAGCCCTGAAAATTTCAGGAAGATCTAAGATGGTGTGGTGAACATCATTGGTTGAGTTGACATGGAGTGACCCTCTTGTCTCCTTATACTTTCTAAAGAAGTATAAGGAGACAGGAGAAACAGTCTGTCAATCTGGATCAGAAAGAAAGGGAAAAACTACTAAAAAAAAAGATAGATGCATTCTCCAAGCTGCCCTTAAAAATCGCCGTATTTCTGGAAAAACCATAATTCGTCGTTTACAGGAGTGTAAAAATTTAGATTCTCATTGGGCTATCAGAAAACCTCTTTCATCAAAGATCAACATTGCACGTAGGCTTCAATGCTGCAGTGAGCATAAAGACTGGACTATTACCCAATGGAGACAAGTTGTTTGATCAGATGAATCTCCTTTTAGCTTTAGATGCAACCGAAGATTTTGTGTTTGGAGGCGTAGTAATGAAAAGTATCACCATGAATATATAAAAGCCACAGTTAAGCATCAAACAAAGATTAACGTATGGGGATGCTTTGTAAACAAAAAAAAAGTAGAATGCATAATGATGAAGTTTGTCTTTTCAATTGTGTAAAAGAGGCATGGGATAGCTTAGAACCATTTTTATTAACAAAGCTTGTTTACAGTATGCCTAAAAAAATCAAAGCAGTCTTAGCTGCAAAAGGTGTTATGACCAAGTACTAGTATTTGAGATTTTGTTTCAAATAAAATGACTCTTTCAAGATAATAATAGAATACAATAATTCTTCGAACAATTATTTTGTACTATGTATATTTGGTAATACTTTTGTATTTATGAAATCATCATTACATTATAATATGTGTCATTTAATGCTTTAATGTTGATTTTCTTAAAAAAACATTTCGGTGGTTTCTTTTATCTTTTCAAATATATATACATTTAAAATATATGTGTTAAAAGCATAATATATATATATATATTGATACTTAAAATAAAATCACTCATTACATTTGCTTGCTGTATATTTTACGTAGAAATTTTGCCAAAAAACCACATAAAATTTCTTGGTCAGTATTTTTTGTCATTATTAAATAATTAACAGATAAAAATAATAATATAAAAAATTTAACAAAAAATTTTAGTTATGAAAATCAGAAACTAAAGTATTAAAATATATTACTATAGAAGCAGAGGACATAAAACATAAACTAATAACAATGTCAATGGAAAGAAACTCAGGTGTTTATATTTTGAACAATTTAAAATGAGAAAAACACATTGAGACAATGGTAAAAAAAAATTATACCTATGATATTCTGTATACAAAAAATTGTAGTCTGTTCTTCGTGGAAAAACTAATCGATTAGAAATTAATTTATGAAATTCGATTTCATTTTTACACCTATCTTTCGTCTTTTTATAAAACTCACGATATGCCAATCCTGGTGTATAACCATTCTCAAAAAGATTATAAATTGAAGATGAGATATCTGTTTGTATGTCCTTAAATGACAATGATTGGAAAGAATTTATGGGGTGATTATGTGTCCATTCAAGATCTATGATAGTCTTTGTTTTATTGTACCTACTGTACCTTAATATCAAACTAAATGGGCAATCAGTATTTTTAAATCGTTGGCTAGGATTTTTTTTTATTATTTCAACAGCATTCATTGTTGCTTGATATCTTGTGTTATGGTGACATCTATAATAGACACATTTGTCATATTCCCCTTTTTTCGGAAGTTTGGGTGTTAATTTACGCAAGGTTTCATTTGTCTGGTAGCAATAATTTTGAATAAATCCATCTTCCTGCTCTGCTGACAAGTTGCTTTCAATAAGAGCTTTAAACTTTTTTACGGAACCTTTTACATGTAGTATACAAAAAGCATCATCATTTAATGGTATTAGATCTTTGATTCTACTTTTTAACTCCTCTGTATTTTCAACATTAATAAATCGAGCTCGGAAAGACTCAAGGATTGATGTCATTATTATGAATAATTCTAATATATATAATTAGTAAAATATTTATAACAGATAAATTGTAGCGATTATAAGAGTAATTTCTTTAACCACAAATAATACCTTAATTATAAAAGAAATAGCAAAAATTATAGCAAGCTACTTATCAATTCATTAAAAATATAACTGCAAAGTGTTTTCACAATATCTATCACTTTGTAATTGATATTCTGATACTATTTTAATAATTTTTTTGTAATATTTAAAAATAAGTCATGCTATATTTACAGAGAATTTCAAAAAATTCAGGTTAAATATAAATGAGT